GTTGGACTGCTTGCTCATGCCTTCCGATCCGTACATGTTATAAAACGAAGGCCCAGAAATGTAACTGATATTCGCAGAGGCAAAAGGGAGATGTTCTCTCTGGTGAAAGTTGGATTGGACAGCAACCCACATGTTTTTACTTAACAAGAAAATTAAGAAAATGGGCAAAATAATGTCTAGTATTCAATGAAAGTACGAAACTTGTACTTGACTTGAATGCCGATCTTCATGGCAAAGGGTACACCATTTTCCTGGACAAATGGTTCAGCAGCCTAGAACTGTACCTGAAACTACACAACCAGAAGACCAACATTTCCGGGACGGTGAGAAGCAATTGTCAAGACATGCCCAAGGACTTGTGCTCCTTGAAACTTGAGAGAGGTGAGGCTGTTCACCGTTCTTGCGACCAGGGCTTGCTTGCCTTGGTCTGACGAGACAAAAAAGATGTCCGTATGCTGTCCACGATGCACACAGCCAAGATGGCCGACACCGGCAAGAGGAACCGTGACGGCATCGCTTTGGAGAAACCCAAGTGTGTACTCGACTACAATGAGAGGATGAAGGGTGTGGACATTGCAGACCAGCTGGCATCGTTGCACCGTTCAGTCAGAAAATCCATCAAATGGTATAAGAAACTGGGTTTTTTTTGCTTGATGTTGCTCTTGTAAACTCTTATCTTGTGTATAAGGAAATTGGTGACACATTTTGGTGAGTGAAATTTTAGAGTTGCGTGCACCAATTTGCCAGTGTATCGATCTAGAGGTAGACCAACCCGTCTTCCTGGTCCAGGTAGACTGATAGGAAGACATTTTGCTGTAAATATTTCCCCAACTGGAAATCAAGCTACATTGTAAAAAGAGACCAAAGTGATGTGTGAAATTTGTGAAGTGCCACTTTGTGCTGTTCCTTGTTTCATGGAATATCACACTTGAATAATTGCTTATTTGTGCAAAGTTTCCTGTATTCAAAGATATCATAAATGAAATAGTACATGAAATTTTATGATGTTTGTTTTAGAAATAGTAAAAGAAAAGTGACTAAATTGATGTGTGAAATTAGCAAAGTTCCACTTTTTGCTGCTCCTTGTTTCAAGGTTTATCACACTTGACTCAATTGCTTATTTATGTAAAGTTTCCTGTATTCCAAGAAATAGTACATGAATTTTGGGGCAAATCCTCCAAGGTTTATCATACGTGAATCAATTACTTATTCGTGTACAATTTTGGCAAACTTTTTCACAAGAATTTTCTCCTGTGTCAAGACATCATGTAATGCAACTACTCTCCATTTCTGTCCTTTTTTTGGCTAAGTTTTTTACAACAGTTTCCACTTATTTGAAGACATTGTGTAATGCAACTACTCTCTTTTTTTGGCTAATTTTTTACTGGAGGGTTCCTTTTTTTTAATAAAATTGAAGAAAGATGAAATGATTGTAAATATGAGAAGAGAGAGAAAAAAAGAAATGACAAGTCGTCAAGAGGAGAAGAAAAGTGAGAAAAATTTGTCTTGAGTTTTTCTTGTGTCTGTTTATTTTATAATTATGGGGAGGATCAGTTTGGAAAGATAGTTTTCATGGGAAGGTTCAAACTTAGAAGGGGCTGTTTATATATATCATTACATACGGAAAGGGGATTTGACAAGAACTTGCAAAAAGAAACGTGCAAGAAAATTATAAGCAAACTTTGCGCAAAATAAAAACAATCTTCACTGGGCATTAGCTAAAATAAAAAACTTGTGAAGCGCACTCAATGTACAAGTTGGGGCTGGGCATTGATGCTGGGCATGCATGGACTACTGGGAAGCGGGCACACGAGCCAAGGTGCCCGCTAAGCAAGCATAGACCGTGTGAACTTAGCGGGCGCTGCACTCTCCGCTGTGACCGAGCGTCTTTGGGTAGTTGGTGTTGTCGCGTGGGCAAGGTAAGTGCTGGGTACCTGGTATTTTGTTGAACGGGATCCAAATATCCCAGCAGGGTTCATGACTACACAGAGTCAGGCTGTGTGCAGTGTGTGACCCAGCAAACTTGGCAGATAGGCCTGGTGGCCAATGTTGGTGTCTGCGGTTGCCGTTAGCAAAACTGGAAAAATAAACCTGGCAGCCAGGTGGGTTGCGGTAAAAATATCCCGACATGAAGGGGTTAAATCTTCCATTATATTGCATGTAACAGAATGAAATCCAGAATGAAACTGGGACAAAGCTACCAGTATTACCTGCCACTAGGGGAGCATGCAGCATTTTGAAAAATCTGTGCCATCAGGCCCAAATACTGTCATAAACCATGCAATTACTTACTTTTTAGCAAAGAAAGCCACCCAGGGGAAGCGGAGATCATGTGAGTCTACAAACACATTTTGTACAAACAGGTTAGGGCTGCAGCTATGCTGTAAAATACAAAAAGATGTGGTTTCATTCTGACAAAGCAATACACACAAAAACACTCATACTTGGAGCTCAAATGAAAATACGGGTACGGTAATCACTTGTTTTTGAGGCATTCCGTACAAAGGTATGATAAATGCACTTGATAATGCAAGTAACTATCAGTTCACTTCACATACTTCAGATTCCAAGAAAAAAGAAGATATCAACATGTTCCAAATCCTGACAAACTAAAGGATTAAAACATTCTGATGAATGAAACATTGTACTCACATTGAGGTATCTTCCTAAATTGCCTATGAACTTTGCATCCATGACATGCCCTGAGGTTTCACCAAAGAAGCTCCTTGTTCGGATAGGCAGTGTTTTTTTTTCTGTATCCTTGCCATTTCCTGAAAACAAATTTAATCATGTCATCACATGCAACTATGTGCAATTGTTTTAAAATGTACATGTACACATACTCATCACTGCCTTCAAATTAACCAAGGCCACCCTCTACAAGAGGCTTTACAGCAAAAAATTCAAATCAAAGTAGTCTGCATGTCTGGGAATGAGAGTTCTCATTCTTTAGTACCTGATCATATTCTGACATATCAAAAAGGTGGCAGTTTCAGATGTATGTTTCTAGTTCACAGTGTTGAACAAATGGTGGAGGTGGAAAATCTTGTTTAAAAATATTGAAAATCTCCAGTACATGGCTAATCAACCCCCTGAACACAACAGATGACAACGGAGGTCTATCTGTTTTCCATTCATTTCCTGCATAATTGATTAAGGTTGAAGCGCAGAATTTAAAATCAACAATTTATGTTTTACTTTGATATGTATCAGAGCGGAGAGGAATTTGTCTTAATTTTAATACGGATGACCAATCCAGCATGCTACATATTTGTAAGTGTTTACTTGTAAGAGTGCTCTGTCTGGTGAAAATAAACTTTTTTTGAATGAGATGTCTCACGGTGATAGTGATATGTGGATACAGTGTATGTCGCCCTGTCATGTGATCATTCTGGGCCAATAAATGGACAGTATCTAAGACGGAGGTATGACAAATTTGTATGTGTTTACTTTTAAGTGTGTTCTATCTGCTGAATGTAAACTTTTTACACATGTAGCTGATCATAATGACCAATGATGTATCAATGCCACAGGAACAAGACAAAAGCCGAATGACCCATGATGTATCAATACAACAGAAACAAGACAAAAGCCTAATGACCAATGATGTACCAATGCAACAGAAACAAGACAAAAGCCTAATGACCAATGATGTACCAATGCAACAAAAACAAGACAAAAGCCTAATGACCAATGATGTACCAATGCAACAAAAACAAGACAAAAGCCCAATGACCAATGATGTACCAATGCAACAGAAACAAGACAAAAGCCTTATGACCAATGATGTACCAATGCAACAGAAACAAGACAAAAGCCTAATGACCAATGATGTACCAATGCAACAGAAACAAGACAAAAGCCCAATGACCGATGATGTACTAATGCCACAGGAACAAGACAAAACATAATCAGCTACTTAACACACATACATGCATCAATCCTGAGGTTAGTATTCTCAACAGAACATTAGCAGAAAAAGAAATCAACACAAAGAATTTGTCCAACCACATGTAGCTTCACCACTTCCTGCCAGGTGACCCGTTTTCGAGTATATAGGCTTTATATGCAGAGCCAGGGAGCCCGGAACTGGGACAAAAGAGTTGTGCATTATATCAAAAGACCGTGCTCAGCACAAAAGACTGAGCTGCTGGGCATTACCAACATTTTTTTGCTCTCAATAGTGGAGATAATCCAGCCTTGTTCTGAAGCAGTATACCACACTTCGAGGCATGTTGAGCAAGCGGATTACCACCGGGGACAAAAGCTGTCCACCACCACAGCGATGATCCACACAGCACCGCTGCACGCTAAGCTGGCCCCTATTGAAAAGAGGTCAGCAGTGCACTGTGCCGGTTTCGGGGAACAAAAGGATCTTAAGTAACACTGCACAATCTGGGCTCTTTCTCCAAGGCTGCCGGCCTGGCTGAAATATTCAGGAGTCAATTAAGGTTACCTGTCAGCTTTAGAGTAATGCCCAAAGATTTCTTCGTGTGGGTATAAATGGCCATTAAATGAAATGATGAATTTTTAAAGAATTTTGAAAACGGAAAAATCTTGAGAATGACCCAGCATCTTGTCTTGCTCAAGAAAAATTCACCTGGCAGCAAGTGGTTAACGCCCATGTTCCAGCAAAATGTAACCATGTGATTAAAAAATTGAGTGTGTGAAGTCTTTTGCTGGTATCGATCATTACCAATGGAAAACAAGGTAACTCATCTGATTTGCATTGCATATATTCCAGAAGACTAATTATCAAACACTGAATATTAAAAAGGAAACAGTTTAGTACATATAAAAGACAACATTCTGGCATATACTGAACAAGTGCATCACACCATCCAACGTTCAAATGATATATAGTGAAATACAGAGTACCATGCATACCTGTACCTGTCATAGTAGAAGTTGTGTTGACAGTTGGCTGTGCCTCAACATGCTCTGTCATGCATGGTGTTCCACTTTCACTGTCAATTTTGGCAGCTGAAGAAGAGATGCAGTGTAAATAACATGTGCATTTCCATCCCTAAACCTTCATGAAACTACATATCATATAAACACTCTACACTGTAGGATGTGTAAAACTGCACCAATTTTCTGTGAGTTTCACAAAGGCTCTGTAAATGTGATTTAGTGCTGCCTGTTTGCAGAAGCTACATGTAACTTCGAGTCCAGGGTAAGGCACATCTCCTGATTCAGAAGTTCCCGTGGGATTTTGTAGCTATTTGTATGTAAGATGTGTGACTAGAAAGTGTGATGTCACTGTATTTGAGGTCTATTATGCACATCAATTGGGATACACTAAATTTGAACTGAAAACGCATATGGGTAAAGTTTATGCCAATTTCAGATGTATGTTTCTAGTTCACAGTGTTGAAAAAATGGTGGAGGTGGAAAATCTTGTTTAAAAATATTGAAAATCTCCAGTACATGGCTGATCAACCCCCTGAACACAACAGATGACAACGGAGGTCTATCTGTTTTCCATTCATTTCCTGCATAATTGATTAAGGTTGAAGCGCAGAATTTAAAATCAACAATTTATGTTTTACTTTGATATGTATCAGAGCGGAGAGGAATTTGTCTTAATTTTAATACGGATGACCAATCCAGCATGCTACATATTTGTAAGTGTTTACTTGTAAGAGTGCTCTGTTTGGTGAAGATAAACTTTTTTTGAATGAGATGTCTCACGGTGATAGTGATATGTGGATACAGTGTATGTATGGTCAAGTAGGGCTCACGGTTATTACTGGCAAAATGAATGAAATATTAGCTATTTATGATAAAATAGTCATATAAGTTGGCCATGTATATTGAAAGACCCATTTCTACACCATTTATTGATTAATAGGGCGTACACATGTATTCAACTATTTTCAATTAGAGTACATGTAGTGCTGAAAATTGAGCAAATGACAACATATGTACTGTTTTATTGATTGGTCCTTTTAATGGCAATAATTATTTAGAAAATGGACCTCTCAACCCCTTACTATTCAATATAATGATTCATTCAAAAGACTCACCTTTATTGTCTGCAATGCTTGAGTATTCACTACCAGATGTATCCTCCTCACTTAACACTGATGCTGTTTTAGTAAGCTCACTACTTGCCTCTGCAATCACAAAAACAGCTGGTCATTGGGGTGTTCATACATCTATGTGTTTGTTTAGCTGAAGAACAAGTTCCGTAATTTTCAAGATATAAACTGTGCTTTATACATTGATTCTCATGATGAAAATGTCTCTGCGACTTATACACTGTGCGACTTATAGAGAAAACTCAGAAATTGAAGTGTACACAAAAGTAGTGGCCGGGCCACACATCACATGTACAGGTGACGCAGTCATGTTTTCGTTGGTTGCTGTATACATGTACATCTGAAAACTTGAACCTCGGAGAATAAATAAAAATTCACAAGCACATTCATGAAATGTGTAAGTGATCTTAAACTTGACTTACTCTGCTGTGGCAACATTTTTAGTGATTATTTTTCTTCACTTTTTAGTCAATTTCATGGTGTATTTTTGCAGACAATTTTTTTACTCTTGTAACCTAACAATTTCTTTCTACCGTTAAATAAAAATTAATCCCTTAAATGGTATACCTTTGTGTGGCAGATCTTTCATCTTCTTGTTGATCGTGTCATAGAATTTCAGGGTCTTTTTTCACTGGGGTTTTCTGATGACAACACTTTCTGTGGTCACATGGCTTAATATTCAAATGAGTCAGTGATTGGACTGTCCTTGAATGGGTCTGTGGTAGCAGTCATGCTAGCCTGAAAACTGGGTTTGCGCGACAGCAGTAGTGCATATGTACCATGCTGCATGAAGCATGCATGCATGCACGCAAGCAGTTCCAGTGTGATGACTCAAATCAAGGTCTTGCAGCGGATTTTTCATTTTGAAGGGATTGGTGTTTCTTTGGTCAGCATCATAAAACTCTTGAGATAACTGGATGTAGTATTGTAGACAGTTACAAAGGTATTTTCTTTGTGTAAAAGCCTATTATTTTGGCAACAAATTTAGTCAGCCTATGAGATAAAATGATATTTTGACTTGACTGACATCAAATGATCAAGATTTTATTGTACGTCCCTCACCGCATAACATTTACTGGCCACTGGAAAACATGCAAGAGCTGATGTACAGCCCATGCAGGACCACCATCCAGCCAACAAAAAGTATTAAATAGGAGGACTTCAAATTCACTTTTCATGGAGACACTCGTTTGTATTTTACTTACTTTCGTTAGGATTGTATGTGTAGTGGGAACCATTGGGAACCATTGATGTACTGTACTTGTTGCATTGGCACTTCAGCACAAAGACCTTTGTAGTTGGATCGTCAGCACTGCGGTGCAGCTTATATGCCGGTGCAGCTTACACAACAACTTCAAATTGTAATTTACCAATTTTTGCATGCTGCGGCTTATACACCGGGTGGCTTATATTCTATTCTATTCATTACCTGCGATTCCCTAAAACAGTCCTACCTCACGAAAACAAGGTTGCAGAAACTAAATTACTTTGTTACAACAAAAACTTTGTTGTGATAGGACTTACTCACCTAAACAAAGAAAAGTAAAATAATTCAAGAAAGAGGGAACAGATGTGTCAGAATTGGCTCTTTTTTATTCATGAAAAATTTATTCAAAATGTTACTGTGGCGTTGACATGATTTTGAAGCTTTGCATGGTGGAGATGTACATGTAAACTCACAGGGATTTGCAGTGTACATGTACAATGCAAGAAAAAAAAGCTTTTACAAGTTGATTTGTGATCACAAAAGCAATATATACTTGTAACTCAACAGCAGAAGAGAGAGTACATAGAACATAATACAAAACTGCTGCAAACAAATAGCTGACTACAGGGACCTAAAATACAAACCACAAAAGGAAGGCCTGACATTTCAATCCTAGCGGAATCTTTCTCAAAGGCAAAATGAAAAGTGGACAGGAATTCACCTAACTTGGCTCCACCATGGCTGAAAACCTGTCCATAGATGCTGAAATCAGCAGACGGATCAGACGAGCTGCATCAACTCTTACCAACTCTTACAGTAAGCTCAAAGCGAAAACTGAAATGGCTATCTGCAAAGCATGTGTTCTCAGTGTTATTCTATACAGCAGCACAACATGGACTCCGTACTAAAGACGAGAGGAGACTCAACACATTCCACAACATGTGCAACATGAAGTGGATCCTTGGGATAAAGTGGTCAGATTACATTACAAACAATCAGGTCCTTGACTGTCCTGGTACATGTACATGAATACGTGTCATCTACACCCTGCTGCGTCAGCGTCATCTTTGCTGGCTCGGCCATGGATGCAGGATAGCAGGATCTCCAAGGATGTATGGTGTGGCAAGCTCACATAAGGCAAGAGTCCCCAGGGCCGGCCTAGAAGCAGAGGAACAACGGGCCAAATGCAAGAGTGCCCCCACACCTGTAGACAGCATCTCAAAACTGTAATCACTGCGGTAGAGACTGTCACTTCTGCATCAGTTTTTACAGTCACCGGTTCTGTTTCAGTGCCAACTGACTATAAGGTGCATATTCTGGGCCAAATAAGACCAACAAATGCCAATATGAAAATCATGTCAGACAAAGAATTGTTAGGAAGGTTGAAGTGATGGCCCACAGGGTATCTAGTCTTTGGTGTTTACCTTAGATCTGTGACCACAGAAATGCTTTTTGAGAGTATTCTTCATCTCTCCGACATACTGAACACTGCACACCTTGCAAGAAATAAGATACATAACATTGAAAGAGCTACAAGTAATAGTGCCTTTGGTTCGGTGGGTGGCATCGGAGGAGTGTCCAGAGAATGTTTCTAATTCCAGGATATGGTGGGGGGGGGGATAAAGAACGGAGAGACTTCTGCCCAAACAATTAGGTCCCATAGGTTGTGGGGATGCCTGTCACATTGTCAATATCTTCATGGGGAATGTTTGTATATAGGGAAGAAACATCAATAGTCCCAATGATGGCCGTGTTGGGAATCTGGCCCTTGATGTTTTCCAGCTTTCGTAGGAGGTCTTGCGTGTCGTGGATATTTGAAAGGATCTGTGGAACAAGGGGTTTGAGGAAAGTGTCAATGAACAAAGATATGTGTTCAGCAGTGGGTGATCCATTTTCAGAAATGATGGGGCTCCCCGGATTTCCTGCCTTGTGGATCATTGGAGGAGACATTTCCAAACATTGTTTGGCTAGCACAATGTGAAACGTCATCATCCTGGACCAGGTAGTGCCAGGACTGCCTAGGTAGTAAAATGTGGTCTTCAGCATGTCCAGAAGTGTAAAAGTGGGGCTTGTACAGTCACGACATGGAGGAATCCGTCAGTCACTGCAGTGGGTGTGGGCCCCAAGCTTGGCTCAACAGCAGCCAACCACAAGACGGCCGGCCGCGGTTTCGCGACTGGGGTCGGTGTCAGCTTTCTTCCCACAGGTGTCAGGTTCCAGGCACGCTAGATGGTTTGCCAGGCATGGTAGCCATGGAGTGATTCCGACGTTTCTGATCTCCGATGGAAACAAATAAGCCCATAATCTCACATTTTCACGAAACATGTAGCATTAGCTCCAAACTAGAGAATTTTCCAACCTTTCACAACACGGTACACAGTGTGTCACGAGCAATTTCAAATCGAAATGTCACCAAAAATATGATATTCAAGGGTGAGTTTTCATGGCTAAAAAATTTTAGCTGTCGTCCCGCAGTGAAAATAATGAACACTGCACCCTCGTTCACCAGATTTAAGAACGTACATTTCTGTAAAAAATGTGATTTAAAAACTATTCTTATTTTTTCCGACACATACTGACAAAATTTACGATTTTATTCAAAAATGTGTCGAAAATTTGACCTTTCATAAATTTACTTTGGAAATGAATATTTCAGTCATTAAAAAATATTCATCCTTTTGATGAATCCATCTAAGCAACTGGGGTGACCAGAAACCGCCAGATACAATGTCGTCACTGGAAAGAGAGGATGTAATTGGAGAGGAGACTGTTACACGGCTGAATGCCTCTGACAACGAAGTTTCAGACATTGAAGGGCTTGATGGGTATTGCAGGTAGGGTGATGACATCTATCACCGGTATTAATGAATAGAAGACCTATAGAGGGATCCCAATCGACCCTTTTAGGGTCGATCTGCGCACTTCCACATTGGAAGAAAAGGCTGTATGTGTCAACTTCAATTCTGTGTATCTGCATGAGCAGTGGGCGTGGTTTAAACTGAGGTGGCGTCGCACTTATGAACTGGATACTACATGCACTGTTTCGACTCCATGGGCACGTGCTATAAAGTTCAACACAGGGAGCCTCGGTTTTATGCGGATATGCGCAGACGACGCTAATGTTAAATCCCTCAATGGACGGAATAAAACACACATGGTAGGCTGATCGTATCACGTTTTATTCACTGGGACAGCTCCATAAAAAGGTGAAGCAGTTCCCGGGGAGCAGATTTCTCTATTTTGTAGTCTAGTAAAAGGCCTATGAGCAAAATATTCAAGCTGTGGTCAGGGTTTGGTATGCATGACCTAGACTCACAATCACCAGGCGCCACACGAGCAAACGACGTAAGGCGGCCCAGTAGAGTGTGTGTAAAGTTCCTGCTTGTACGCCTGGATGCCCCAGAAACTGGACATACCAAGGCAGCAGCAAAGGGGCGGAGCTAAATTTGAGTTGTAAAAGTATGCTCTGAGTTCTTTTCAGAACCATACATACTCATAAGAGATATATCCTTTTCCATGGTGCTAACGGAAGCCTTTCCACTGTGGTTCCACAAAAAAAATGGAATCAGCAGCTCTGCTTTTGTGAAGAACGGAGTACCCACCATTGGCAGTTCCACATTCAAAGAGCCGACTCCAAACATCGAATCCGAGTCACAGCGGCTCCCACGTGTATGTGTATAGCATGCTGTACATTTAGCAGTGCACCCTTCCACACAAGGGAGAATGCATACACAAATGAACTGTAAAATACCCTGTGTCTGGGTACCAAACCATATTTGTTATTGTACGCGTGGCGCAGCAGAGCTTTGACGGCCGGAAGCTATGAAGCTCGAAGACTGTTTTACATGTGGCTGTGACTTCAACATTGGTGAATTTTGCCTGGTACTTGCGTGTGACGTGTTGTACTTTCCGCATGAATTATCTTTACTTGAGTCTGGCATGATTGAACATGCTAACGCTACTACATTATGTACCTGTCAATGCGTTGTTGCGCAACTGTAAACAGTCGCCGGACACTGGACTCTGTCCTATGACATTACGACTCTTGGGAATTTCTTAAAAGAAACTTTCTGTACCCGACGGCTGTTGTTTAGCTTTTACTCCCAGAGAGGGGTGAAACAGGGTCGTGAAAACTATAATTTTTAACATATTTCCGCACATTTTGAAATTATGCGGATGTGTTTTCTTGTCATATATATGTTTGTGTTATGTGTTCATGCATGTTTTACAAGAAATCTTCCCAGCACGGCCCATCCCCTTTAAACATCTCCACGCATGAGCAGTCAAGTGGGAGTTCAGGAAAAATTGGCATTAATGCCTCCAACCTAGCGGGGTGGTGCTTAAGGAAGCATGTGAAGAGGCCTCAGCCATAGATTGATTAGAAGGCAGGCCTAATATGTTGATCATATCCTTCTGAAGAAGATGGAACCATGCCTCAGGAGGGTAAAGGTTGGCTGCAGAGGAGATATCCTCATCTTCAGAGGACGTATCCCATTCCATCTGGATCCGAGGAAGAAGGAACGGCATCATGTCTTATTGAGTGGCCAGGGGCCGGAGCAGGAGGTGAGCTGTAGCCTGCACCGGAACCTGGCTAAGTCAAAGAGACGAAACCATTATATGAAGATCAGATTGCCGATGAATGCAGGTTTGGATGCAGATGTGGATGTGGATCCGGTTGCGGATCATATTGCGCCGGCAAAGGGTCTGGATCTGGGGCCGTCGCCGTGGGAGCAGGATTGGGCTCTAGATGGCTGACTATACAAGAGAGCTTCTCCAAGAGCATGCTGACTGCTGACATGATGTCGGCCGAAGCATCCTCCTTCTGTGAGGAGTGAGACTTCTTATGCTTAGACCCTGTAGAAGAAGATGAAGAGTGTTTGTGTTTCTTGTGTATGGGAGAAGTGGTGTAGAGCCAGCAGTCGACGCCTGGTGAGCTGGGTGTAGGAGGCCTGCCCAGACTGCAGTAAACATACAGCAGGAGAGGGCTGGTGAGCTGCAGAGGTAGAAGCAGTCTTCCCAGAAAGCCCTAGAAGGTAGCCGGAAGACGGGGTGACATACGGGGGTCGAAAACCCGACGGCACAGGAGGCCGGTGGGCTCTGTTGTCCCGGGCGCGGGTGGTGGTGAGCCTGCATGGCCCGGTAGGTACATGTACCACACCGGGAGTAGCGTTGTGTGGTCCTGTGGAGCGTCAGCGTCTTTGTCATGGCCGGGTGCCCTAGTTGAAAGGGCGTCTGAAGACAATGGCACCAGGGGGTGATGTGGCTGGTGTAGCTAGCACTGGCGGTGTGGGGCCACTCTGGCGCGAGACTTGTGAGCCATGCCGATGTCGGGTGTTGCCCACGGCAGCTTATTGTCAGCCTGCGTCACCCGTTCGGAATGCTTCGGAACTGGGACGCAGAAGTGTAGTGCCCAGACCCAGCAAGCAGGGGAAATTTAACCCGAGTGCAGCGCCACTCTGCACTATTGACTGCAATGCTTCGGTGTTGGGGGAACTTAGCATATGGATATTGCACGCCCATGAGAAGAGAAAAAATACCACCAAAACAAGAAAATATACACATTAACTCAGAAATATAGAATGTACGTTTATTACAATATGTTACGGTTTGATCAGAGTACCACAAAGGTGTGGAGCGAAACGGAAACTTGATAAACTCGAAGATGTCAAAAAGAAATGTCTGGTTAAGGAAAAGGACGAACATGGCGGCCATTCCGCTATGCGTCATGGGACTAGAGGGTGTACTATGGTTGATCAGAAGTTTTAGCGAATTGAATCATACACAAAGGAATTTGCATATTTAGCGACTCTTTGGGGTAGGTTGAAAGCAGAAGACTGTCCAATTAAAGTAGTCACCAGACAGTTATTCATGTGGGTGTAAACATCCAGTAAATGAAGCTATGATTTTTTTAAGAATTGTGAAAATGGAAAATCTTGCAAATCTCCCGGTTTACGTCATGCAACTTCAAATTCCACCCGGCAGCAAGTGGTTAAATTGGAACTCTAATCCTTTGAAATTGCTTCCTTATTTGCTAAGTTTCAATAAATAAATCAAGTAAAAGTAAGATTAGTTAGTCCCCCTCAACTGGTAGTTGGCTCTTCCTGGGTTGCCATGGTTGCATTCGTAAAACAAACATGTCAAGTCTGAAATCATGACTTTGACTAAAATGCTACTGCAGTAAGGTTGTCTCTTTGGATTAGTTTATCAGGCCACACCTACTTGCCTTGCCATCCAGATAAGGCCAAAATCATTGCATTACAGGGCAAAAGCCCTAAAGTTTTTGATCCTGTTCCTTACTTTATGGGTGTGGAAAATCCTTGAGGCTTGTGACACAACACATTCTTGACAAATACTCACCTTTACTCTTTCTGCGCATGTGCAGTCGGCTGGTATGAGTACGCTTCTTGAAGGCATCTATTTGGCTTTTGTCAAGAACCTTGCCAGGACTTGTGTTGTAACCATACTTAATAATTGAAGATGTAGAGGAGTCTAAGTAACAAAGATGAAAATGGTATGTAAGTCAAGGACTGGGAAGAGACTTTTTTAATAAGTGATGTAACTGGCTTTTGAAAAAAATGGCTAGGGGCTGTGCCTGAGATTGCCAGCAGGATTAAGCATGCAATGGTCCTTGCAATTTAATACCAAAAAAACACTTCATTTTTAAAACAAGATCCCGGAATCATATAATCTCTACACAGTATACAGTAAGTGAGTTAAACATTCTGATTTGATATGGAAAAGTTGCATCCCTGTTTTATGAACAGGGATTCAATCTGAACAGACTGAATCTGTCCAAAATATTACTTTCTGATATTTTTTTGTTTTCCCAAATGTTGGACCCTCCTCCTAAAATGATGCCTGATGTAATTGTAGGTGTTCAAATCCAGTGCATTTTCACCTGTTTCTTTGTTACTTGAATCTCTTCTCCCACCTCTCTTGACTGCAACTTGATCTCTCTTTGATCCTACACTTTTCTTAGCCACAGGTTTATAGCCTACATCACTGGCAAAATCCCTGCTGGATCTGTCAGTGAAGTCCATTAAGGAGTCTGACAGTCCTCTCTTCTGTATCTTGATATCCAATGAATCCTTGTCTATCTTTGCTGTAGCCTCATCTATTCCACCCTCCTCAGCTGAAGCCTTTAAGCAATCGTTGCTCACTGAAAGGTTGTTGCTTTTTACCCAAGCTTCCACTTTACTCTGTGATGAATCTTTCTCAGGAAATGCTACAGACCTTGAACAAAATGACAGAAATAAAAAAATAATAAATGAAGTACAATATATCAATTAAAAAAAATAAATTTAACCACTTGCTCCTTGGGAGCCCGGCTTCGGGTACGTATTCTTTATATGCAGAGCCGGGTTGCCCGAAATCGGACAAAGGGAACTGGGCCTTGTAACAAAAGACCATACTTGTAACAAAAGACCAGGCTGATGGGAATTACAAACATTTTTTTCACTGTAAAAAGCAGAGATAATCCAGTCCTTTTGGAAATAGTATACCTCTGTTTGAGGTATTCATTGTGAGTGGACCACCAGGGACAAAAGTGCTCCACTACTACAGCGATGAGCCACACAGTACCGCTGCATGCAAATCTGGCTGCTATTGAAAAGACACTAACAGCATACTGTGGCAGCTTTGGGAATAAAAGAAAATTAAGTAACACTGTACAATCTGGGCTCTTTTTACAAGGCTACGGAAGGGTGCCATGTTTGTTAGTGTTTGATACCCACTATAGGACGTGTGACTTAGCTGGTGCAATCAGTCTAATAGCAGGCACACATAACAGGCTCTAGTCAGCATGCAATGAGCAGCCAAGCACGGTAATAGGCTCTAATCAGCATGCAATGAGCAGCCAAG